GAGCATCAGTGTGTATTTATTACCATTCTGGCTCCATCTGCCTCATGTTTCAACCAGTGAAACATTAAGAGATACTTGAATGTATGGATTTCTAACATATCTTTGTAAAATCTAAAACCTTGTATTGCTAGGAATCTTCCTGCTGGTTATCAGTAGTGTCCTCAATTTGCCAGCTGCGGCCTCTGTAATTTACAGTACACCTCAACCCAGCTGGCCAGGGTGGTGTAAATTTAAACCTCCATATATTCAGTTTATGTGCTTTAATTCCTGCTATTGTTTTGAGCAGTTTCCACCAAGGGTGTGCTTTGCTTTGAGAACACAGTGCTCCATTCATCAACTTTAATTTTTTTATATATACTAGTAACAATATGGACAGAGGGAAAAAATCAAACTGTTTAAATTCCACCTAAAGTATAATTTAGTCAGACTTTGGACTCCTCAGTCTGAGAATTATTCTAATTGCCCACTCTCAAGCACCATCTATCCCCTAGTGGCACCTAAAATGAATAATTTTGGGCAACTAATTTCTGGGTATAAATTCTGCGGAAGCCTAGAAGCACCATGGCTTAAGCAGACAGGCATGTAACTCCCACTCAAGTTTCATTGTGACTTCAAGATGTGTGTAGAGGTGTCTGAACATTGTCCATGTTCCTGGAGGTGCCTAAGCCATAGACTGTGCTTAAATCACACATAGTAAGCTTGGACAGCATTGAAGCCGACACAAACCACAGTAGTCATGAGTGTTTTGAGTGCAGAAGAGGAAGAGAGAATATTTTTAATAACCTTAAAGGTTTGTTTGAGCAGTCATCTGGGAAGGCTGTCTGATTTGGATTGTCCTAATCTAAGGAAATTTAACAAGAATGAGAGAACTTGACTATTGTACCACTGAAAAGGGTATTTCCTTTTCACAAAAATCTCAGAGCTGTGTTTTTGCTCCCCAGTCTGATTATGTAATTTGGTTCAGATACTGTTGTCCAAAAAAGTCCAAAAAGGCATCTAGTGGAGGGATCAGATGCCCAGGATATCCTGGGCATCTGCTTTTCTGTGTTAATTTGTAAATTCTTTCTTCTTGTCTTTATGGATGAATTTGCACACTTACTAGTTGCTACCCGCATTTCTGTAACATTAGAACTTGCTTAAGACCTGTCATCTCTCTTACTTCTTTTGGTGTAGACACCATGATGTGCTACCTGAAGTTTTTGTTCTGTTTGTGCTGTGTGTACATCTGTAGGCTTCAAAATGAGCTTGGTATAGGTTTCCTTCACCCTTTTTCTCTCTCCTTTTCCTGTTGTTCTTTCCTTGTGCCACGTGGAAAGGGTAAATACTTATCAATGGAGTATTTGTTCAGCTGTAGACGTGTGGACCAACTTGCTTTTGTATTTTTCATTAACACTTACTGCTGTTTATTTATTGTTTTCATCCTGTACATAACATCTCATTAGTTTTCTGAAGTTTTAAACATTGGTAGATGTGATCAGGTGAAACAGTATACTAAACATTCAAAGGTCTTCTGAATTTCAAATTCAGTCATCATTGCTGGGCTTCAAGAACAAAGATTCAGGAAAGGGCTCTACCCACGTTTGTCACAAGCACGTTGGTGGCTAAAAAGGCCAATACGAGACAGGCATGTCCGATTGCAAAAGGCACAGCAGAAAGACTCCTTAGGTGGTAAATTCTGCAAGGCATGATTCTTTCTGCATTGTCTTTTCTCCTCAAGGGTGATCCTGCGTGCGTTCTCAAAGGCATCAGCAGCGTTATAGATGGTGTGTCTCCAGACCTCCCGATTGGAGGCCAGACTAGACCAGTTATGATCAATATGGTCAAGGCTGAGATGTTGTTTCAGACAGTCCTTGTATCTCCTCTTTGGGGCTCCTCTCATGCGGCAGCCGGTGGCAATTGAATACTGAATTTCAAATTCAGTATTCCGTAAACTTTTGGCTTGACTTTTCTCATGTTGCAATATGAGGGTTTATGTTCATGTTTCTGTTCCCGTTCATTTCTTTTTCCCTTCAGATGTCATTGTATACCTGTTGTTTAAAACACGGACATACTTTGCCTATCTTTGAGGAACTTTTAAATTAGCTTTACAGATTAGAAGATACCATGGCAGTAATACTTAAATATCACTACAGTATCTTACTAATCATCTGTACCCAAGTCACTTCAATGCTTGATGCATGCTTTTTTATTCTATTACAGTCACTTTAAGCCATTCAGGGAGCAGGAGCATAGGGGAAATTGTGTATGGTAGTAGATAGTGTGCTAGTTTTCTGAATATTTCATCCCATCATTTTGTTCCTTTTCATGCTCACCATCTGCCTGGAAGGGTTGAAAGTTAAGTGTATACTTTAAAGCATCTTTTAATGACTTTTTGGTCACCAAGGAATGTTCATATAGGTAACAATGATAACTCTTCTCAAAATAAAGATACTGTTTCTATTATGTTTCTGGTATACAGCACTTGTATATCAAATTTGTGCTGCTTGTTGGCCAGACACTGGTAAAGGTTTTCCAAGGCGTTGTGGAATACTCTCCATTCTTGAGACTTCCAAAACTCAGCTGGACAGGACTTACAGTAGTTGGATATAATTTTCAGGTTGGCCTGCTTTGAGCAGGGGGTTAGATCCATTGGCCTTCAGAGATACTTTCCTACCTAAGTTGCCTTGTGAATCTAACTGAATTGATCCTTGGTCCAATTCTACTGAAATTTTCCCTCCTTTGTTGACTTCACTGAAATCAGTGTAATGCCATTAGGAATTAATTTGATCTCGTGTGCTTTTCTCATTACTCCCAATATGGTTTTCTTTGTCAGTTCAAAGCTAAGAGAAGTTAGAGTGAACTCCTCCCCTTTTTCATAATGCTGGCCCATATCTTAACATTTTGTTTCCTGAATGATTTGATAAACACTTAAGGAAAGTAATTTTATACCGTGTGTACTCACACAATCAAACTTATTTGAAAAAATTCTGAAACAAACACATTCAGAAGACTTAATAGTCATACATCTAGATGGCTCTGAAAGTGTTAGAAAGGCTTACAGTAAAAAACAGTGAAGTGGTGGGGGTGGGGTTGCATGTGTGTGTGAGTGTGTGTGTAGAAAAGAGTGCTACTATGTCCAAAAACTACTTCCATTTGTTTTCTAGATTTATCATACTCATCATGGTTTCCCCTCCTTTCATTTGAAGACTTCTTATCATTTCTCTTCCACGATTGTCTGTCCTTTGCCTATTAATGTGAACTCCCCTCTGTCTCCCAATGTGGAACTTAGCTGGGAAAGTTAACTGATTTTTTGAAAGCTAATCAGATGCTCCTGCTGTCAGATGTCCTGTCTAGTTTACAGCTGTAAACCTGAGATACCATCACCTTAGCTTGCCTGGGGTGCAATAAATCATAGGGCTGATCCACATCCAGATAGTTTATTGTTCTGCAGAGACACATTCATGTATTAGTGAAGGTATTTTTTTATAAATCATAGAACATATTCTTTATGCTATATTTAAAATACATAGTACAAAATAAAGATCTAAGTCTTGCCAAGCCTATTCACTTTTGCCTTGCCTTTTGACATTCAAACATCTAAAGCTGTACAACATCATATGGGTCTACTAACAATGTGGGAGAGCAGCCAATTTGATCCTGGGATAAAAAAGGAATCAGCTGTGGGAAATAAGCCGAAGAAGTGTGATTCCCACGTAAGGGACTTAAATAGGTGTTAGTCCATAAAGAAGCTCTTAAGCAGGATTTAGAGCAGGCTTCTTTGCACAGGAGGCATTTTTCCTAAGATCCTAAGTTAAGTACAACAATTTTCAGGAGGGTTGTGGGGTTATTGTCTTGTTGGCTGTAATGCTGTGCTCTTTCTTTCCCCCTGCATTTGCTATTGTTTTGTTTTGTTTTTAATAAAACTTTATAGCACATTACTGTGTAATTATATGCCCATTTACAGTTTTTTAGAACTAAGCCATTTGCTTTGTGTGACCATGGGAAACAAATTTGAAGAAATTTTTCTGCTGCATGGGGTCCTCAGGTTTCTTGAACTCTGCTCCAGGGAATGGTTTTTGCAGTATGGCTAGCTGGGCAATCCTGAAGTTTTCAGCAAATGACAATGTGAACACTTAAGCTACTCCAGTGTATAGAATTTGCATCTGTCGTTTTCATTTGTCTCACCTCTGTCTTAGAAAAGAAATAATTTGAAATGCAGAAGCTTCAAATGAAAAAAGCTGATTGCACCATCCTAACTTATTTAGTACAGAATTAGTGTATGTTTAATGGTTACCAAAGTCTGTAGAGTTCCATTTTTTGAGAAATACAAACTTTTCAAATAGTTTATAGAAGTGGTGTTACAGTGCATTCTGTGATATAGGTCAGACAATTTTTTTTAGAGGCATTGGTGTATCTTAGGTAAGAAAGGAATAACAAAATCAAACAACAGCAAGTTATTCAGTCTAAAATGCATTCCTTATTCTTTTTCGAGCTTGCTGAAGTCCAGCTGTTCTGATACTCATGATGTCCGAGTCATTGCCCATGGAGGTCACTGGATCAAATCCCTGCTCAAAGCAGGACCAACTTGGAAGCTAGATCAGGTTATTATGAGCCCTGTCCAGCTGTGTTTTGAAAGTCTCCAAGGATGAGGATTATTGCACAAATCCTCTACAAAACTTGTTCAAATATCCCAAGAAATAAATTGGGAAAACCAGTATTTTAAAATATGTTTATGTGTGGCATTCATTTTGCAGCAGTTCTTTTAAGACTCCTATTTATATTAATCACAGATGTTAGAACAAAAATTAATGAACAAAATATTCAGTCATTTACTCTTATAAATAGACTGAATTGTACTTTGAGGAGAAGCACTTCTGATTGCTGAGGCCCGTGAATTTATATGAGTGTGAGCAAGTGTTTGGCTTCTTGTTTTCACCAAGTATTATTTCTATTCATTCTTTTTAAGCAGTGTTTGTTTGTATAAGAATATCAAGAAGTCTTTTTCCTCCCTCCTGTTGCAGGCAAGTGTTTCCAAATGGGCTTCCTGAAGAATACTCTCTAGTTGCTGCATTCCGTGTACGGCGAAATACCAAGAAAGAACGTTGGTATATATGGCAAGTTTTAAATCAGTATGACACACCTGAGGTTAGAGTCATTTTTTATTTTTTTTTTTCAATAAATTTCTTTTTTTTCCCCCATATAATATGACACATTTAATAGTGGATGTTTCACTACTGGATTTAGCTTCAGTTTATAAGGAACAGATTGCTCTGAAGTAATTGATGACTTCTTCTAGGAATGGCAGAAATTTATCAAAATCTATTCAGTTAAGACTGAAAAGTAGGATAAAATGCATGTTATGATTTATAGCTGATAAGTACTCACCAAGTTACATAGAAAAATGCTTCATAATTCTTGCCCAGTCTATATAGTTGAAGTATTTTTATTATATATAGTTTATGTATGTGCTTGTTTCTTATAAATTTTTAATGACCACTTCTTTTATTTTATTTTACTTTCAGATCTCTGTCCTTCTGGATGGTACAAAAAAGGTGGTGGAGTATATGACCAAATCCGCTCAGGGAAATATACTGCACTACACTTTTAAGAGTCGAGAAATTTACCCGTTGTTTGATCGGCAGTGGCATAAGCTTGGTATTAGTGTGCAGTCAGGGATCATTTCGCTCTATTTGGATTGTAATTTAATTGAGAGAAAGCAGACTGATGAAAAATTCACCATTGACTTGCAGGGAAGGACACTGATTGCTTCTCGTACTGCAGATGATAAGCCTGTAGATGTGAGTAGTATGAAAAAAAAAGCGATAACTTGAAATCGTGTTTTAACCATGCTTCTACTAGCACAGTTGTAAAGAATCATGTAGATAAAAGGTTCAAAACCAGTCATTACTTTTGAATGTGTATTTTTAATTTGAGGTCCTCAAGTATTTTCCTCAAAATAGTATTCAGTGCTGTAGCATCTGCTTAGGCAAACCTGTTGCCTAAGTAACTACATAAAACTCAGTCCTGGTTTAAGGAGTCTGTTTTTCTGTATTTACTTTGCAGAATGAGCCCCCTAGGTACCGTGGATATATTATTACTATGTTTAAAGATAACTTACAGTGGTAATCTTTTTCTTTCATTTTTGTGAGATTAATTTGTAAGTTTGTATCAGTCATCCGTTACATGCTGTTTCTTTGACAGAGGGGAGACACAAAATAATTAAGGATTACCTCAGTATCAAGGTGTTTCGGGTTAATTCACCTATGTAGAAATAGGGGCATATTGTTCATGGTTGTCACTCCCCTATCCAAATGAGAGGGATTACGAAGTGGCTGGAGGTGTGTTTCCTGCAGCCTTAGGTGCAAGAATTACCCAAGGCAACCCCATAATATTCTGGGCTGTGTTCTGTCCCAGAGATGCTCTCTTCTGTTTCCTCATGCAGAGACTTCACAGCAAATAATTTCTAATCTTCAGGAAATGTCAGTTTGTTTTAAGTACACTGACATCCAACTACCAGGTTTAAAACATCTGCCTTAGAGTTTATAGTGACCATCTGAAAACTTCAGCAATACTATGTACACTGTAGGGTTCCAGATGAAAAGAGCACATTGTAACTGCAAGCTAACATTGCAGGAGGAGTCATTCTTGTGAGTCTCTAAGCAATTTGACCTGGACTTGGAGCTCGTATTTCATGGGGCCAAGCTCATGTTTAGTTTTATTTTCTACGGCTTGAGTTTAATGTTGTTTGAAATGTGTGTACAATCTCCTCATTTCCAAATAGCATGAAGAAAGAGCAGATCTTTTTTTTTGATTGCGTGGACAAGCTGGATAATTCTGAGTGGAAGTTGTCTATTGGGACTTACACATTTGCAGGAAAACATTATGGGCTTAAAGCTGATGAAGGCAGCAGAGTGGATCCTATATCAACAGTCACTCTTCTCAATACCAAGTGCAAGAGGGAAATGAAGAGGATGTAAAACCAAAGCAGAAAGAGGCATATGAAGACAAGATTAGCTAGTTAAATTTAGATGCTTTTCATCTCACCAATCCACCCAAAATCTCTGAAGTAAAGCTTTACGTACAGAATTTGTGATCTTTTGCTCTTTGGGTGATTTAGTGGCAATGTCCAGGCAAAGATCTGTCCAAAGCAGAAGATGATGTGTGCAATAGAGAGCTTATCAAACCTTTACTCCAGTTCCCTGCAGAGGAAAATTACATTCCTGAAAAGAATGTTTACAGAGGATGTCTAGAGGGGTAAAATGCCTGTGTAACATAGCAAGATCGATACAGATGAATGCAACTTACATGAAAATAAATAAAATCTAAAATGTGGTTTTCATCAAGGTAATAGACTGCATAATTTGCTCCTTGAATGGGGAGCTGTGTAATTGTTTTGGATTTGTCTCTTTCTAGCATTTCAGAAATATGCAGTGTTTCAAAGAGAAAGTTTATTATGCCAAGATAAGAAAAAGCATACTGTAACACAGATTTTTTTTACATCTCATATTAATTTCTTTTGTATTTCTTAATAGATTGAACTTCACCACATAGCAGTTTATTGTAATCCAAAACTTGCAACAGAAGATACATGTTGTGAAATATCTGCAGACTTGGTAAGTTGTCTGTTAAAATTAAAATGTTAATACAAAAGAAATTACTTTGTTGTTTCTTGCTAAAAAGTTGTAAATAACTTTCAATAGAGGTGTTAGTTAAATTACCTTCTAAAAATGAATCCCATATCTAGAGCCATGGTACATAGTTTCTTGCTGCCTAACTAAATATCACAGTGAGACATCAGTAAAAGGCGCTAGGGGCTGCTAGTGCTTTTAAAATTAATTTCTTAACGTTGATTTAATATCTAATTAGTAACTGAGGAAGCCTCAGACAGTAGGAAACAAATCACTGAGGTGACTTGAGGATGGTTTCAAACAACAGAGGCCATTTCAGTAAGGTTGCATCTTGTGAAGCATTACGGATGTAAGTGTAGAAGACCCTTCTGGAAGATGTTACTGCAAGGAGATTATGGTTTTTTGCTTAAGGAAGCTTTCCTGTCTGGGAGAAGGCATGTTTCCCAGAGACAATTTTAGATGTTTTCTCCTCCTGCATTCTGGAGGAGCTGACTCCTGGGCATAAGAGAAGTTCTTGCAGATGTGTCTCAAGGCCCTGCAGCGGGCAGGAGTGAGGGGAGGGGGGCAAGGATGATAAAAGCCCTGAGAAGAAAGGGGGGGGATGTCTTTCTTAAGCCTGTTGCAGATTTGCTGTGTTCTCACCTTTGGAAATAAATTCTCCTAAATCCTTCCACTGCTTGGTATTTGGGGGTACTTGTGTGCATTTGACCTTTACACAGATGATATAAACAAAGCCCATGGAGGAGTCTGCATGACAGTAGGAGGAAAATAGGAAGGCGTTGGGCATTTTCCTTATTTCAATACACTAAGATGGAGGAATGGGTGTTTCATAACTGGCAATTTATAGTGCTAGATTGATGGTTGGACTTCATGGTCTTAGAGTTCTCTTCCAACCTTGATAATTTTAAGAAATACTTTCTTCTTTGCAACACACGTGCTGAGATGTATATGTTGTTTAAGGGAAAGCAATAATTTAGTTTAAATGGTTCACTTTTCCCTCTCGTTTTGATAGACAAAATCGGTGTAAACTGGAAGACACCAGAATTATAGAAATGCTTGACGTTGAGCAAAACAGTTACACCTGCAATCTAGCCCATTTGAAAAAGAAAACAAAACCACAAAAAAACTCAAAAAGGATAAATATTGGTTAAAATATTGGTTGTACTAATTGTAAGTAGTTGGTAAGATCAGGCTCATCTGAGACAGTGCGAAGTACCATCACCAGTGAGCCTGTAGTCAGCAAAAATCCCCCAGATGACACAGAAGGACTGATTGATTCCATTCAAAAAAGAGATAGGAGAAAAGCATACCTGGAAAGGAGAGAAAAAGCTGCTCAAGAACAGAGGAGCAGAACACTGTGGGAACTGACCACTGATGGGTGCTCAGAAGCACGGAAGGGACTGGATCTAATTTCTGGGGGAAATTTTAATTTTAAATAGTAATTTTTTGTTCAAATATATTTCTAAATATGTTCCTGGTAATAGTGCAGGCTTTCTCTTGAATGTATAAGCTCATGGAAAAGTGAAATGAATGAAATTTCTGTAGATTCCACTTTGTGCGTGGAAATACAATTTATTTATCAGTTATGAAACAGCAAAAAAGCACGAGCAAAACAAACCCTCATATGAACATAAAAAGCTCAACAATTAATAACATCTTAAACAATGATTCAGCTATATAGCTAAAAACACCATCAGTTTCATTTCTATGTCTTATGTTTAAGATGTAAAAGATGGTGGGCTACTTGTTAATGACTTCCATATTGAAAATAGCATTACGATTTCTGATTTATTGTTTCATGACTTCCTTACCAGTTATAAGGGCTACATTTTCAGTAATAGAAGGGAAGGAATTTATACTTAGATACAAATTTCTAAGTAGTAAATCCTATGGGAATTTTTTTGACAGAAGGCTTGAAGGAAACCTCATTACATCTTAATGAGAGCTTCTGAAATTTATCAGGTTCTGTTGGCTTGTCCTGTAGTATATCTTGAGGTTGGCTCAGTTCTCAGGAGTTAAAGACAGGTGAACATTGGCTTCAGGGCTCTTATGGTTTCTTTCCAAACTATGTATGCCTGAAGTATTTCATTAAAAAAAATTATGGAATTTTCCTTTGCATTCACTCTTATATTTTGCATTTTGGGGTGGGGGGAAGGACAAGATGAGACTGAGAGGTACTGTCTTTTTTTTTTTTCCCTGTGGGCGTTTTCTGTTTCACTACTTCTCATTTTGGGACATTTTATTGCTCTCTCTGGGCTCTTTTGGAAGAAATTGGGACAGGTTTATCAGTTTTAACTGGCATCGACTTCAGAACAGAAGGATCAGAATATCTAGAATTCATTTTATTACAGTTCTTTTCTCTATTTGGCAATTGTTGTGGCTTTTCATAATATGGTGTGTACAGGAGTATTAAGACAGGAGGTTTTAATAAAACTAGTGTTTTGATCCTATTTATCTATTAACTAAAGTGGACCAAAAACCAGAAAATCTTTTTATTTTAGTGTCCACGTGAGGAAAGGTTATTTGCTACAACATTGTCACCAGCAACTGCTCATGCCAGCAAAATATACACGCTTCCAGGAATGCAGCAAGAATCTAGAGAGAGATGCCACTGCTTTCCAAACAAAGTATGAAGTTTCCTATTGCTTTTTGGTGCATGATGCTGTTTAATCCTGCTAGGTATAAAGAATAGTGGCCTTTTTTTTTTTTTAGTTATGAAAAAATCTTACAGGTTTGTAGGATTGTAATGTACTTACGTTATATTTCCCAGTTAAAAAGCAGTAAATTTTAGATTTAGTTAATTTAAACTTAGAGATGTCTATATGGTTTGGCTGTTTGAATATACACCCAAAAAGTACCATGGTAAAAATGAGAATTATATTTAGGCATTATATTTAGTGTAAATGTTTTGATTTGAGAATAAATTATATTCTACATAATGTTTGTTTTCTTTTAATCCTTCTCCTGGGTGTTGCACTGTATTTATTGAGTCATTTGCTTTTGTTAGGCTTTTGTGACAAAGACAGGAAACTGAACCAAATATATTTTAGATCTGCTTTATTGCTTTTTTTATTTCTTTAAAAATAAGGGAGAAGCCGGATTGCCAGGAGTATCTGGTTTGCCAGGCCAGAAAGGAGAAAAAGGAGAAAAGGTAAAATATCAGTTGAATTCTTTCTTTCAAATCTTCGTTATTTGATTATCTTTCTTAAATAGTACTATATGTATTATGTTAATCCTTAAAAGGAATTTCCCTATGCATAGTGCTTGGTTCTGCATGTGGGCTTCCTGCCAGGCAGCTTACAGCTGTCTCACTTTGGGGTCACCTCATCAACTCTATGGAACACAGTTTACCGGTCTGGGAAGCACATGCCTACTCAACCCTGCTAGCATTCCATATTGCCTGTTCCCCTTATCAAAAAATAAAAGAAGTCATGTATGTAGTCTGACAAGGATTTTTCTGTTCATGTGTGTACGTCACTGCTGATGGACAGAATCCTGTGTGGTGGATTCATCCTTGCAGTCATCAGTAGGAGGGTATGAATTCACCAATATGCTGTCACTGTATTCTTTGACAACAGTCATACCTGAAACTTTGTTAATTGTGAAGAGAGAGGCACCTGACATTGGCGAGTCCCTAGGAGAGGCCAGTCAGTGCTCTTTCCTTTGGACCTGTTCTGAATTTTTCTCTAATGCTTACCGTGACATTATTGGTTGTGTAGGTTGGGGATTTCCTAATAATAAAAGTCAGCATATCAGATATTTTCCCTTCACACTCCATTCCCTAAATTTTTTTTGAGGATGCTGAATTAGGACATGTCTAGGAATGTGTTTTCCTTGTGCTAATAGAGGGGGCAACTTGAATAAACTATTGCAAATTGCCCAGAAAGACAGGGGGATAGGAAATGAGTTCAGGGAATGCAGTGTGAGAGGAAGATACTTAGAATCCACAGGTTAGGATGGAAGCATCCTAACCCAGCATCCTACCTCACTGCACACTGTTAAATATGTGATCTGAAACAGTTTGTTAAGACAGGCAGCACTGTTCCTAGGACTGCAGTACCTGGCTGAAAAGGGTTCAGTTCTGGGAGGGCTTATCTACACAGTTGGTTGAAATTAAGTAAATTCCTTGACAGTATATTGCTCCCCTCCGGTGCGTATTTCACTTTTGATACAAGCTATATCTTTAGGTGGAAAAAAAAGTTAAGTCACGTTAGTTTCTATAGTCCAGGTGAGCCTAGAAGGATGGCTGTCAGTGTTCAGAATTAATCACAAATTTTTGCTGATCCTATACACTTGCTGAGTATATGGAACAATTGTCAAGTTTTAGTGTTAGCCTATGTTACCAATGTAGAGAGTTTTATAGCATTTGTTTGGAAAACTGCTCTTCTGTTCCTGACTTGATGCATTTAGGCTATTATTGCTACTAAGATGGGAAAGGAGACTTCTCAAGTCTGATTTCTTTACCATTTAGTCTCCCAGCCAATTAGCAGTATTTATCATGCTAAGCATAGTACCTCTAAATAAAGCATGTATGTGCCTGTGATCACCTCTGGTTCTGTTCTCCCATTCATTTTACAAAGAAATCCTCATTGCGTGGATTCAAAACCACCCAAGAGTCAATGAACCCTGCTGCATTCAGCAGTTTGGCCTAAAGGTGGTACATTGACATTTATCAATGTAATTTCAAAAAATTGAATGAACCAGCAGGTTAAAGTCTGGAATAGTACAGCAAACAGGTAGAAAGCTGCTTAATTTGAACCTTCCTTATAATTAACCAGTACTTGTTAGTTCCTAACTTTGCAGTGGGGTGTTCTGTGTTAAGAGGGGAAGGATGTGGGGTGTGGATGGAGGGCTGTGATCTGATTACTGCTGTGATCAATAAGATTGGCTCATTGTTGACATCTGGGAGCAAACAAATCCTTTGTTGAGTAGTGCCGACCATGATGGAGCTGACTGCAATATTCTCTGAGGTTTTAGTACCATTTTTGTTCCCCTCTGCATTTCTGCAGTTTTCAGTAACACTCACTCTCAATGATGGCCGTGTTACATCAATAATTAGACCTGGAAAGGCAGACTCCAGAACATTCCAGACATGCAGGATACATGATTTTTTTTTCAGATTATGCAAAGGAAACTAACGAACTCTGGTTGGATGTTTTGTAATATGTTATACATTAAAAAGGCAGCTTCTTGGTGACTTTTCCCAGTCACAAAAAAATGGGATTTCTGTAGGTTGTGTGTGGTTCTTAAACCCATGTTTCCCCCTTTCCTTGTGTTCAACTTCTTATTTTATTTTCTTTTGCGTCCAAATCATATTACTATAGGTATCCAACTAACTACATATGTAAATTTATATTTACATATATTTATATGTCCTCGCAGTGGCAGCATCCCAGTGAAAATAGAAATTTTTACCTTCTTTTCTAGGAAATTTCTGTATCTATTGATATTATCTTTTTCAGCACAATAATCCCTATCCCTTTATTTTACTTTATCTCGTTCCAAATTTTTATCCACTGTAATTAACTGCATGACTGAATTTATGTGTCCTTTTTTGTTGCTATGAGATTGGCAAGAAAGTCTCTATATATACAAGTTAGTGTTAGGTTATATTCAAACCCCTCAAAATTGCCTTTCTCTTCAGTCTAACACAGCTTTTCCCTAAGGTCAGACTGTTCAGGAATATCTCAGCTATCACCAGGTACAAAGTATGATACCCGATAATCCTTTTTCAGGCATTTTAAATATAATTATTAACCTGTTTCCACTTTCTTCCTGTACTCTTGGCTCATCTTAGTGCCTCTGAACCTGGCCTTACATTATGGCTTCATGAGGACAGTTCTTCACTCAAAAATATTAACTCCAGTGCTTCATGAGTAAAGTAGTCGGTTTGCTCTGTAGGATTTTATTAGCTGGGAGATAAGCTTCTGCAGCAAAGGACCACCTCCTGTTCCTTAATTTCTGAATAATTAAAACCGAAAAAGTCATCTGGACCGACTTTGCTGATCTCTGCCCTTGAAACACAAGTTTGGACTGCTTGACAGCTTTTTCTCATGGGATGAAAGCTGAGAGGCAACAGCAGTCAAGAGTACAATTCGGGCTATCCTGGAATAATAGCCTGTTATTCTCACGGCAGCTTGCTTCTTAGCACAGTGTATTTCACAAGTTGCAAGTGGACACAAATCAGGTGGAAGTCTCCTATGATTTAACACATTTTCATATCTGAGCTGTGGAACTGAGTTTCCTCTTCTGCTGGGATGAGTGAGAAATTTACCATGTTTTCTGTTTTAGAAGCAATTTCTACTACTTCAGCATGGTATATAGCTACTCAGGGTCTTACAAATATATTAGTTGTTAGCAAATGTATTTTGATAAAGATATGAAGATTCTGTTTTGTCCTCAATATATAGAAATTCCTCAGAAAGACAGAATATGGATCACTGTAATTCGGAATGATTGCATATATATTGAATATATAAACTGATTTCTCTCTCTGAAGAGGCTAAAAAAGTAACTATGTTTTCTATTTTTATTTCTTTTAAGCAAACTTAGTACTCACGAAAGATTTTAAGCTGAAATCTGAACAGAATGAAATATTTTGATATAACATTAAGCCATTCCAAGCTCTGTTAATAGGTCATTGGTTAATACTGTAAGTACTGTAGGGAACAAAAAGCCAGAGGCAGAGAGGTTTCAAATATTAAAATGGCTGTTGATGCATACAATAGAGAAGTTTATTGATGTTCAACTTCACTAATTTAAATTTTACTCAAGGAAAAAGACATTTAAAAGGCTATTGTAGGATTGGTAGAGGTAAGTTTATGCAATATATTATTGCACTAGTAAAATATTTTTAATAGAACAATAAGCAAAAAGAACTCCTGGAGAACTCCTTTCCTGCTCCTCTGACTTTCCTCTTAAAACCCAATCCACCTGATTCTGCATATCTGTTGTATTAGGTTGAGCATGGTTCCTTTCTGGTCCAGTTTTTGTTGCAGAGGTCCCTGATAGGGACTTAAAAGCTAAAATGCATGAAAAAGAAAAAAATGAGGCAAAATATGGCTGGCTGTCAGTGATGACAAAGTCAGGAGCTGCCAGTGCACTTGGTAGACTAAAATTTAGAGTGAGCAGATGAAAATGCTTCATGCTTATAAAGTAAGAATTTATGGATAGTCCTACTTATGTTTTACCATCTAACAGTCCAAGTTATCAAAGTATAAGGAAAAGTACCATTATTAATGCAGGTTAATTTTTTCTTATAAAAAATTCTGAAATGTATACTTTGTTTCCATGTTGTTATATATGCTATTCCAGTATTCATCTGAGTCCTGAGGATTGCAGTTTAAGTATTCCAGGGGGAGGAGTGGAAATGGTGGCACCTCTTCGAGGTGCTCAGACTATTAGGGGGAATGTCATGCTTCCTCAGTGGGGCCACTCCAGAGCTGAAGGTGGAGCAGGAGAGGCAGCAGCCACTGGCCCTGGCACAGGGGTTTAACCAGCAATACCCAGCTCAGGTCATGGCAAGGCTGAGCCCCTGCATTAACATCAGTACACATCTGGGGGCTCTTGCTGGGAGTAATGGGGATGGTACTTCCTCATCTTTATACTCCTTGCTGCTCCCACAGTACCAAAGGAACTCTGGCATGATGCTTCCTTTGGGATGAGTTTTCTTTCTCTTGGCATATTCTCTGGATGTGAATTTATTTATTCTTGCTTGATAATATTACACTTTTTTTTTACCTGGACATTTCTGATTATGTTGTGTACTGGTTTTGACTGGGGCAGAGTTGATTTTCTTCATAGCAGCTAGTATGGGGCTGTGTTTGGGTTTGTGCTAGAAATAGGATTGATAACACAGGGATGTTTTTATTACTGCTGATCAGTGCTTGCACAGCATCAAGTTCTTCTCTGCTCCTCACCCCAGCCCACCAGCAAGGAGGCTGAGGGTGCACAAGGCTTTGGGAGGGAATACAGCTGGGACAGCTGACCCCAAGTGACCAAAGGGATACCCCAAACCATATGGTGTCATGCTCAGCATATAAAGCTGGGAAAAGAAGGAGTGTTGGATGTTTGGAGTGATGGTATTTGTCTTCCCAAGTCACCATTATGCATGATGGAGCCCTGTTGTCATAGAGATGGCTGAACACCTCCCTGTCCAGGGAAATGGTGAATGATTTTCTTGCTTTGCTTTGCTTGTGTGTGCGGCTTTTACTTTACCTGTTCAACTGTCTTTATCTCAACCCACAAATTTCCTCATTTTCACTTTTCCGATTCTTTCCCCCATTGCACCGAGGGGTGGAAATGAGCGAGTGGCTGCGTGGGCTGAGTTGGTGGCCGAGGTTAAACCACAACATTATGGCACACATAACTATGGTGACAACTGGGAAAGCTGATTTACTTAATCAAATCTCATCAAACCAAACCTGATTAAGGTCGAGTGTTTTGACAACTGATGTATGTTACTCATTTTATCTGAACTAATAGGTCCCCGTTGTAGACAAGAGCAATGTTGTAATGCAATGCTCTAGCGGTGTGTGCTCTAGGCCATGTTAATGTTACTCTCTTTACTAAGTGCATTTGCTTTTATCTTCTTATTAAAGTCATCATCTGTACCTGGTTAGTACTGAATCCTGCTGAGAACATTTTCCTCCTCCAAAATTCCTTGTAGACTGTGTTTTCTAGATTAAATATTACTATGGCAAGTTAATCCTACAGCATATTACAATGTAAATATATCGTAAATAGACATGAGACAAAATAACATGTTTAAATAAAATATATTCTTAAGAGTGGTTTTTGGTTTTATATGAGAAAGGACTGTAATTTGTTAACTAGTTATCACTTTGTCATTCTTTCTATCGCATTGGGCTTTAGGTTTTCAAAGTGTAATATTGCAGGCAATCTCAGATGTGCAAAATTGTTTCCACTTCAGATAGGAGGCTGATTGGTGACTTTGAAAAGAAGCATGTTTGCTGTCTGCAAACTCTTTTTTAGAATTTAGATTGGCTTAGCTTTAGGGAAAGTTGACAGACAGAAGCATTTTTTTTTCTTTTTAATTTCAGCATGCTGAATTTCCACGCTGTCTGTTTATGTGTTTACCAAAACAAACATCGTCAAAAAGATAATAGCCATCCTATTGCTTGCAATAGATCACAATATGAAAAAATGTACCGTGGTTTAAGTATTTTACTCAATAAATATTTTGTGCTCAATTGAAAAAGATTTTCACTGGTACTCTTAGTAAATCCTAACAGTAGACTCACGATTCTACCTTTGAATGTTGTTACACAATGAGTGTACCTCATTGTACTACTAGTGTTCACCACCTTACGAAGTTGTTCTTCTGACATCATATACTTCATATACTTCACTTTCCTGAAGGACTTTGAGATTTGCAGAAGGAAAACAAAATGTCATTAAGAAAAAAAAAGTTAAAAATGCATTCACTCTGTTTTTGGTTTTAGTCTGTCATGCTGCCTACATGAATTCTGTTAGGGGTCATACAACCAATAGTTCTGACCTTTATACTCATAGATGCATGAAAAACTATAACGTTTCAGCCTGTGGTTAATAAAATCACAACTAGAAGACAGAAGAATAACTTGCAGATCTAATTTGCAGTGGAAAATAATTGTCTTCAAGGTGGGGAGTCTGTCTGCAGTAAGTGGAACAGAAGAGTAAACATACCTTGGTTAATTGGCTAGTAAGGCTAAAGGCTTCCTGGAGTGTAGCAGGCTATGTAATTGTAGACTATACAGTGTATAAAAATACACTGCTGAATGTAATGAAGGTCTGCTCTATCAAAATACTGGCAAGTGGCATAAGGAAACAGCATGCATAGATAAGAGAGTCACTCTGTGAGTGATTAGATAAGGTAACCAGGGCCCAGTCCTACTTTATTTATTGTAGTGGCAGTGGATTGATGTTCACAAACACAGGATTTTGGTCTACTTTTGAGACAGAGCTGTCTGTGTCTTTATTGATGATCTGGATGAGGGGACTGAGTGCATGCTCAGTAAGTTCACAGATGACACTAAGCTGGGCAGGAATGTTGATCTGCTGGAATGTAGGAAGGCTTTGCAGAGAGATCTAGACAAACTGGATCCATGGATTGAGGCCAATCGTATGAGGTTCAATAAGGCCAAGGGCCAGGTCCTGCACTTCGGCAGAACAACCCCATGCAGCACTGCAGGTTGGGACAGAGTGGCTGGAAAGTGCCTGGCGGAAAAAGCCTGGGAGTGCTGGTTGACAGCCACTGAGCATGAGACAGCAGTGTGCCCACGTGGCCAAGAAGGCCAATGACATCAAAAATAATGGGGCCAACAGGACCAGAGATCTGTACTTGATGCTGGTGAGGCCTAACCTTGAGTACTGTGTCCAGTTTTGGGTCCTTCACTGCAAGAAGGACATTGAGGTTCTGGAGCATTTCCAGAGAAGGGCAACAAAGCTGGTGAAAAGTCTGGAGCACAAGTCTTATAAGAAGTGGCTGAGGGAACTGGGGTTGTTTAGCGTGGAGAAAAGGAGGCTCAGGGGTGACCTTATCACTCTACACAATCACCTGAAAGGAAGTTGTAGCCAGGTGGGGCTCAGGAAGAATTTCCTCACTGAAAATATGGTCAGTCATTGGAACGGGCTGCCCAGAGGAGTCATGGAGTCACCATCCCTGGAAGTGTCCAACAAACAAATGGACTTGGCACTTGGTGCTATGGTTTAATTGACATGATGGCGTTCGGTCAAAGGTTGGACTTGATCTTGGAGGTCTTTTCTGACCTTTATGATTCTTGGATATAAAAAATACTGGGTTTATGTACTTGACAATCTTACTACTCTTTTCTTAACTTCAGAAAGGTTAACTTAATTTCAGAACAGAGTTATTGTGTTTGCTCTGAAAAGATAAAGCTACTACAATATTCTGTCTGTGAAGCTCTTTCAGATTTTTGGGGGGGGGGGGTTATGTGTTTCTCTTTTTTCCTTTTTTTTGTTTTTTTTTTTTTTTTTTTAAAGCTTTAGAACTGTGTTTGTATTCTGATACTGAGTTCTGAGATACCTAGCTGATGTTATAGTACCATAACTGCATTAATTAAAATCTCTTTAAACCTGATAGAGAGACTTAGGTTGTAATTTAAGAAATGGTTATGCACTTTATGTGGGGACAGTCTCATGCAAAATGCAGAAACAGTCATCCAGATAGGAAACCATTCTGCTTGTTCTTGGGGAAGACACGGAACTACTGGAATGGGGTAGAGTTGTGCAGTTTCTAATGTTTCTCTTGTGAACTTTGGAACTATTACCAGTAGGATCTTGCTATTTAAAAAGTTATGCACTTTATGAGTTTAGAGATCTTGGGCACTAACTCCTCAGCAGCGACTTTTGGGTGTACAATTTTAGATTTGAGCTCCAAACCTAGATTTGCAACCTATTTTAGGAACCATTTATTTGTGTAAATGTGTTTCTTCTGCTTCTTTGTGCAACCCTTTCTCTCAAACAACTACTTGATAGTTATTTCTTTTCAAACAAGTGATGTTTTCTTTATAAAAAATTGGATTACTCCAGGAAAGGCTGCAGCATTTTGTTTGCTAGAGAATGTTCTCTTCTTGGTACAAGTAGACACACCTACTGTTATAGTTTTGTTTTTAAATTAAGACTATGTGATTTCAGTTTTTTAATTGTATTCCTTTAGCATCCAAACAATTTTTATTTTAAATTTTATAAACCTTATACTTGACATTTTAAAACAAAATTTCTGTGTTTGATGTTTTCTTATGTAATTTTTAGTTCTTATGGTCCTATTTGCAGCTGCTGGGATCTTCCATAACTGTCCTGATCAGATGGTCATTTGTCTCTTAAAACTAAAATATTTTTATGGATTGCTTATGGTTTGGGGTAAGGTTTCTCTGAGGGGTAAAACGGAGGGAGAGAGGAACTGAGTTTAAATAGCGTCTTTTAAAAATATTGTGGGCATGTGACTTTAGACAAACCTGTATTACTTGTTGAGGTTTCTCAGTGTAGAACACAGTCTACCTATTGAAATTGGACCCTCTTAGTTTCACTATGCTGTTGCAATGAATTCCTTTAAAATCAGTGGACCTGCTTTTATGGAAATGTGGATGTACAATTTGTCAGATGAAGGTCTGAATTGACATTACAGGTGTATTAAAATACATTTATTTTGTCTGATTTTAGTGTTACATGTAAGGCATCCTCCTCCACAGTGACTACATTACTAAGCAAAAAAGCAGGTAGAAGATGCTTTTCTGTTGAGTCTGATATGACCTGAGTAGTTGTGTTAACCTCAGAGGTCTGTAGAACTTCTAACTGATCCATTTGTTTTGTAGGGTGAAATGGGCGTGAAAGGACAGGATGGAGCTGCTGGTCTGCCTGGCGAAAAGGTATGTTTGTCTATGTTGATATGTAATTTAACTCATGAGAAGTGTTCATTATGTCAGTGGATTATCTGTAATCATGTACAGAAATGGGAGGATAGAACACTTCTATTAGAAAATTGACTTCTTACCTGCACTGCCATGTTTTTGTAGCACACTGAAATGCCACGCAGATCAATAGTATTCTCTGCAGATGTGCTCATTTGGTCCCTTTAGTGAGGGAACTAAAGGGAATACTTATTCCACTGCCCATTTGTGGTCTGCAAGCCTAAATAAGAGCTCTTGTGCACTCAACAGTCTGCTTGGTAAAGCTTGGGACAAACACCACTAACTTCTTAAGCAAAGACTTGGAATAACTGAGGAGGCATGACAGCCTAGACTGTGTATTCGAGAGGATAGGTTTCATTTCAGAATGTTAGTGTACAGATTAAGACAGTTGTACGCATTTATTGGGTTCAGTGCTAATTACCCGTATTAGAGGAATTCTATAAGTCTAACATCCAGCAACTTCAGTATAGAAGACAGCTCTCATAGCACTGAGGAAACAGGTTGTTGCTGGAGTTTCTAATCATTTGATATCTTGTGATTTCATTGTTTTTCTTTTCCATAGAAACAGTTGAAATAATAGTAGATTTTCAGCATATACATGGAAGCCAGTTAATATATAATGAATGAAACTCTCCAAGTACATATGTTAGTGCCGATTTTTTAAAAATGTTTTGAAATTTAATTCAGTGGTATCTTCAGCATCATGATGTAAGTTCTCAACCCTCAATTCTCTCAATTTAGATTCTTTTGCATCATGTACTTCCAGTTACTGTTCTTTCAGTGCCGTAAACCTTTATGTCTTTTAAAGGCAACTGTTGCTGTGGAAGGCTCAGAATTTCGATATTGAGCTTTATTGTTTGACATGATGGTCTCGTGTATGCAGTGTTTTAGTAATGGCAAAGGGTTTGGTTTATTTTGTAGTTATCCAGATTTCTAAGTAATGAGAGAAGCAGAGTTTCACATCATCAACTTTGAAATCTGTGATTTACTGGACATAAAATTACGAAACTGTCTTTTATGTTTACTTACTATTTATGTTTCAAATTGTGTTTTGTTGAAAGTGGGCAGTAGATACATATTATTACTAAAGATTTGAGTTTAAAATCAAGGTATTTGCTGCTGATGTTAAGTAATATGTGGTAGAAAAATGGAGAGCAGGCTGCAAAGATGTTCAAAGGACATTGCAATATTGAGGAACTGAATTCTAAAATGATATGTAAAACTCAGAGAAAGTAATAGCCAAGTGATGCAGATGAAGAGGAAAACAAAGGAAATATTATGCATTTTATGTAAGACTCTGGAATAGCTATTATTGTTCAGGAAAGTGATCTTTGAATTACAGATCAGTGAAAAAATGGACTCGCTGTTTAGTTCCAGTCAAATAAACAAACAGAATTTAGAAATTATTAGGAAGAGAATAGGTAACAAAGCAAAAACATCTTAATATCACCATTATTGATGAATCCGTATTGTGCTGCAACTTGAATGATGTATACAGTTCTGATTCTCACATCTCAGTGTGGATCTAATATTACCAGAAAAGATTCAAGTGAGGTGTCAAGAGTGATCAAGAGCATTGGGCATCTTCCAGTTAAGGTGTGACAATGTGGACTTCAGTCTGAAAAAGACACAACTAAGATAAGAGGTGTCCTGTTCTGTGCTCTATACAGTAATGAATGGAGCAGAAAAGATTAATAGGGATTTATTTATTTATTCTAGTCTTCAGTGTGTGAACTAGAGCATCAAACCTATCTGATAGCAAGTTCAAAAAGGAGAGAAAGGGCTCATTCTTTCTGTTACATTATTACAGTTTGAACACTGCCACAAAACTTAAAAAGTCTGCAAATGTATTAGAAAACTGATGGAGTAAAATCCACAAAGTGTGTCAGGCTGCTTGTCTGAGCTCCAAGACACTGAAGTCTGGGAAACCCACTAGAGAAGTTTTTATGGCTACACTGTTGTTTTTCTGTAGACACCTGTTCTTGCCACAGTTGTAGTCATAAAGTTGATTATAGAAACCTTTGATTTGATCCAGCTAAACAGTGTTTTGATCTACTGTGCTCCTAGTTGTGAATTAATGGGAAGAGTTATTGTAAAGCATTGTACATTGATTGAGATTGATCTAGAATGTAGCTGTGTTTTCCCTTGGCTCTTGCTGTAGCTCCTACTCTGATGTTATCTTGCTTTTAAAATTACCAGGCTATGTTGCTTTTCCACTACCAGTTATTATTACAGTTTCCATGGTTAATACTGTTTGGGTTTTCTTTTTGCTAAGTGCCTTGCAGATTCATTGTCAGGCCAAATCCCAAAGCTCCTGTTAGTTTACATAAGGCTCAACAGTTAGATCATATTTAATATCAAGACATTGTACTTTGTCTGAACATTATAACTCTTTTAATTCAGACTACGTAAAAACCATACCATTTTTGCAAATTAAAAATGAACTACCGTGAAGTCTGAAACTGTCAAAACTGAAAACTTTTAAAATAAAAAAGGCAATCAAAATATTTTTTACATGCGTAGCTAGATGAAGAAACTGAGATCCAGCTACCCAGCTTCTGCTAGCTGGAGTTGTCATGTCTATGCAGAGTAGTACAGTGCTCTGTTCAATTATCAACTTCTTTCTGGAGGCAGAATCACTATTTTCCTTGTGTTGTGAAAGGTGTTAACGTGCTCTGCCTCTCAGCTGATGCCTCAAGAACTATATAAATTTGTGGAGTCTTTTACTTTTTTGCTCCTTCAAGTGTGGTGTTCTGGATGCTAACACTGTACATGATCAAAGACAACTAAACGAAGTAGAGGAACAGCACCAAGCCTGTCTGAGTTCAATAAGCATTTGGAGAATGTTCTCAGGCACACAAGGTGATTCTTGGGGTGTCCTGTGCCAGGCCAGTTGGAATCAATGATCCTGATGAGTCCCTTCCAACTCAGCATATTCTATGATTCTATGATAAAATACTCTAAGCACTGTTGTATACAAGGATATCTGTTACATTTCAGGACACTGAGGTGCAGACTGTGCAGTGCTGGGAGAGCATTCTCAGGAGCTAGTGCTGTTTGTTTATCCTCTTAAAACCTTCAACATGCTTTATCTTTTGTTGGAGATGTTATAATTAGTTAGAAACAGGAAGAAGAAAAAAGAAATTATATAATATTTTTTAATGTAAATGCAGTTTGAGGCTTCAAAGAACAGAGGGCTTTTTGTAATACACCCCAAAACTATCTGCTGCAGTACTCCATTTCTCATACTTCTTTCCCTGGAGAAAGGGAAATAAATAAGCAACAGATTTTACTCATGATGTTATGTGTAAGCAACAATATCAATTCATTTGACCTATTTTGGATGTTTACATTAGTATGAGATAAACTTGGCTATTGGAAGTCTTGTTTCTTTAGATTATCTCAAACATAACTGACATTGTAGTGAAAAACTGAAATTATAGTAATACTATGCAATAGACTCTAGTATTTGAGAGAATCTCAACAGGAGAGTCTTCCAGAACAGTGCTCAATGCTTGTATACTTGATTTTCAAGATCTGCATAAATGGTGAAACTTCTGTAAGCTTCATATGTGACCTTGACTTTCAAGGATCTTAAGATGTGAAAATTGTTCAGTCTGTGTTCAAATGTGACACTTGGACTTCTGTCACTTTTCAGACATACTATCACTGACAACATAATTTCCCATTCACTAAATGCTACAGTGGTTTTGCAACAGTTGACTGGATAATAGGTGCATAAGCAAGTTGTGTAGATTTCTAGGAGGTTCTTGCCATTTTAGAGATTGGATCTGCTAAGGACTAATACAGTGAACAGCATTTAATTCTTGGCTCTAGGATGACATAAGAATAGCCTTAACACTCTAAAGAAAACAGAGGAGTGTTCAGGCCGTAGTTCTACCATTTTACTGTTTTTTCTAATGCAGTTCTTGTAAGCTGCCAAAGTAAAAAATGAGATTTCTATTGACTGCCAATACACCACAAGGTGCCTGTTGTCTCATCTGCCTTTAGGTCAAAAGCAGTCAGTGTGATGGTGCTGATAAACAATCTAGAGAGTCAAGAGTCTAATGCAGTCCCTGGGAGCTCTATGTCAGGCCCCCAAAGTCACAGCATAGTAGATAGTGGGCACCATTGCATATGTGACTGTCTATTTGTTGCCCACCTACCTATTTCCTTCTCCCTGTCCTTTTTCAGGGAACTGTCTTAAGAGATTTTTCTTTTAAATGGTAAAACCTACTTAGGGCAACAGAACAAATCCTTGAGAGTATCAGAGGAGATTGTTATGAGCTGTTAATTTATAGTTCTAAAAAATAAGAGTGTAGTAGTCTTCCCTTGGAAGGAAACTTGCTTGCTTTGTAGGCTACCAGAAGAGATGGAATGATCCCTTTCCTGCAATTAGGACTGATTTGTAGCTCAGCCTTCTGGGAACACTTCAAGATAGCTGTCAAATCATAATACAAGAAGAACTGGAATGTTGTGATAAATCAGAATCCCTATGCACGTGAGACCCTATGCCTTGGCCTTCTGGAGTTGTTCAGCGAAGTGTGTGAAAACAGCCTACTTTTTGGCAATTAGCAAGTGAAATGGACTCTGGATACACTTTTGAAACTATTTAATATAATTAGATTGCAGACAGAGTGCTGGTTATGGCCTGAGAAATTAAATCTGTCCTGAAGTGTAGGTTTGAGGTGACTGGAGTACTTTAAGGTGTATGACAGTCACCTATCTGTTGCAGATCAGGCTTCACAAATTAAGCAACACTAATCTAGCAATTAGACTAACCTCATTACGGCAACAAGAACTGATTGCTCTGCCATTAAGAATGATCTTCATCTACTACTGCTGTGTGCAGGGTCACATCACAGGCAAGATTGGTAAGCAAGATTGGTACACTGCTGTAAAGTATTCCTATTAAAAAAGTTTAATTATTTTCCTAGTGTTCTTGTCATACTGAAATG